TCGCTTCAGATGAAGCTTTTAATCAGTAAGAGTCTAATATAACCTTGCAGCCGGCTGTAGGGTATCTATGAGGATTTCACACCCACTCCGCTGCCTGGGAGGATTTTGAGTTTAAGGCGCAGTTTGAATTTTATTTAGTTATTTTAGTTGAGATACATACGTGAATGTATATTCATTTAATGCATAACTATTGAAATAAGATAGGAATACATTAATTTTTTTTTTTTTAAATAAGATAGATTGATATTAATTAGTCTTTCAGTAAAGACTACTGCTCAAATATATTGTGGTAACTACAGGCAACTGCGGAACTGCGGGTGGAACGACACGCACTTGCTACGTTTTTTAAAGTCTAGTAAAAATAGTTCTGGCTTAATAAAATACGTAATGGCGTTACTTGTCACTTTTTCCAGACCTTTTTACTATTTTAGAGTAACACTTTAATTTTACTTTTTAACCGACTTCAAACAGGAGGACGTTTTAATTTGACAGTAAGAACATTATGATTTTATTTATTTTTTAAGCATTTAACTGCTAGATGTTCAAATCTAAAGAAAAGTTTACTAGAATAGGTTTAATACTTGAAAAAGTATTCATTTGACATTGTGGGTTACCTACAATGCGAAAAGATGGCGCTGCCTTGCAGCTTAAGGCTAGGAAAATTTCGACGAGGCTAATAGGGCCGTGGTGGTAGCATAATGGTCAGTGCATTCGCCCGGATTGCGAAGGATGCGGGTTCGAGTCCCGTCCGCTGCCTGGTCCGCGTGGATTTTTTTTTCTAGTAAACTTTTCTTTAGTAAGAACATTATTTTTTTAAACAGTCCTATGTTACTTTTGCTCATCAGTTCCTGGCAACACGCTCCACGAGTCTCGATCGAATCGGTTTTTATTTATGCTTTATAGCGGTGTTAATGGCGGCAGGTGGGAACCCGTCGAGACGCGAGCGGTAAATTAATTTGACCGCTGTAAATCGGAAGGCTGTATAAAGGCTTGTTTGTAGCAAATAAACGACTGTTTGTTTTGATGGTGTGTAAAACGAATGTGAACATTTATTGGTGTGTTTGCTTTATTTGTTTGTTAGTATTTTTATTGACTCCTACTTCCTTTGTTGGAAACAGTTAGACAGTTTAATAATATACAAATTTATGGTTATGCTATGTATGTAGTTTGAGTTTATTACTAAATAAAGTGACCTCCGTGACTGAGTGGTACATACGATTTCCAAAGTGTCACCTACTTATAGGTCCCGGGTTCGGTATATGTTAGTATGATGAATACGAGCATTTAAACCCAAGTCTATGTATATTTTTCTATGTAAATATTCTTACACATGTTTCAGTATTTGAATTCTATCCGTATCCCATAACACAAGCCTTGCAGTGCTTACTTTGAAGCTAAGTATGTGTTAGGAATATTGTTTTTTTTAAGGTTTCACTATGATTAAATGTTATTATATTTCGTTTACAGATGAATCACACCCTTACTCGTTACCGTAATTGACTTATTAGCGTCGGTGCGTCGCCGTCGTCGCCGTATCGGTGACACCGCAATCTCTCGTTCGTTCGAGCTGATTGATTGTAGTTTTGTCGCCGATACGATTTGTACAGTTCACTACAATATTAATTTAATATACCAGTATATAATTTGTTAGCATTTAACAGCAAATTTTTTTGGTATAAAAGCGGCAACAAGCGCCCGCCTTATGGTAAGCGGCCACCATAGCAACACCACCAAAAGGCAGTGTTATTTTACTGTGATGTTCCATATGTAGGAGGCCACTTCCTCAGACGGGCGCTCTAACAAATTCGAACGGGAAATCCGATATCCACTACCTCTCTTAATTTTGAAATCTTAAGAAAATTAAACAAAATAATAAATTTTACTCGGTTGGTCAAAGATTGCGAATTGTCAGCCTGTGTCTGTGTTTCCGAGCTCATATAATCGCTCAGAGCCAGAGCCAGAGCCAGATCAAGAGCTTTGACGACCTCCGTGGCCGAGTGGTTTGTACGCCGGATTTCATGGTGTCGCCGACTCGAGAGGTCCCGGGTTCAAATCCCGGTGGGGGCAGATGTTTACGTGATAAATACGAGCATTTGTACTCCAGTCATGGATGTTTAATATGTATTTTCTTGATAAATATACTTATATATGTACAGTATATATATTCTATCCGTTACCCTAGTATCCCATAACACAAGCCTTATAGTGCTTACTTTGGGGCTAGGCTAATTGGTGTGAGTGTTGGAAATATTTATTTATTATATTTATTTATCCTTTAAGAAAAAGAAGATGTTAAAATAAGTTAATCGACACATCCATTAAGGTCTGGGTAATTGTATATGTAATATCATTGTCTGGGTAGCATAAGCGGACATTTGTCTGGATAACGAAATCCGCTGGTAAGAATCCAGCCTGATACCTGGGCAGAGTTGATTTTATTTTGTAGTAAAATATAAATTTACTTTTAACTTAACTTATTATAAGAAATGTATTTGCCGAACTGTACCTGGTTATCTGTCAAGGAACCAGCTTGGTTGCCCGCTCTGAAATATGCGTATCTTGTGACACAAACCAGATTCCGGTAATCTGGTCCTTTTAGTTTACTTTATCGTTTGTAGATTTTAAACATAAATTACAAGGGTACCTTCACACTATATTATCATTCCTTACGGGGCTAACAGCTGTAAGTAATACTTTGTGGTCTGTGGATTACATTTTAAATTTTTTCTTCAGCGGAAAATTTTAGCAGTTGGGTATTTTGTAAGTTCAAAACCGCAGCGAACGAGCATATGGCCTGGCTGATAATAAGCAGTGACTATAGCAATAACTAGAATCACTCCCACGTTGTTTAGCCTGCCCAACGTCATTCCCAACCCCCTAATACAGCACGTCTAAGATACTCGTTTCAAAAACTAATCGTGACATGTAATTAGGCTTTAGACTGTCTGTGATCATATTGAAAAAGTCTAGATGCAAAGATACCTAGCTAACGCGTTAGACGTAAGTCGGGGATTAATTTTTGTATTTTATAGACAGATCCGACAAATGACTCACTCCACCTGATGTTAAGTGACGGTGATGTTCAGACGCGAAGACACAGCAGTTCTACCTGCCATACTAGCCATCTTCACTCTGCCGGCCTGCATGTTGCTTCTCCACGACTCTTTTAAAGGATCCCAGGTTGTAAGAGAGAGGGAACACGTGAGCGGGCAGAGCACTCCGCTTACGGATAGTACGACAAAAAAATGAATCACCAAACTTCTATGTACGCGTTAGTCGGTGGCAACGTTGACGAGCGCGCGTGGTCCTCTGAAGGAAAGGGGAAGGTAACCTTGCTGATTTTAACACAAGCTCACAAACTAATGAAAAACTGGCAAACCTTACTTCGGAAATACAATGCTCATATTATTTAATTTTTGACGTATACTTACCGACATAAAACTGGAAAATTAAAAACAGTCCTTGCTAGAGTTCTGCTCAGTACATGGTCTGCCGCATTAGATTTGCGAACCGATGGCGTAGCATTTCCATTTTAGTACCAAAAAACTATTAGTTTTCTGAGGACGTACTTTAAAAATCAACATCATCAAATGTTCGTATCGTGAACATCGTCGTGTCGCGTCTTAAGTACTTTACGACATTAAAAACTATCTTAGTTTAAGAAGGATGTCCAACGATAGCTATCGCAGCATCGTAAATCAAATTAACAAGTGCAGTTGTTAACTTTCTTAAGGAAATTTCCAGGCGTACTTTTAAACTTTTTGAAAATTGGGATGTATAGTAACTGTGGACGTAAAATCAACGTGTTTTTTTACTTTATATAATTTTCAATTTCAGATTTCTCGCCACCCATTATTGTTATCAATATATATGCGACATGATTTTTTTAGTGAATGTTGCTACTTCTGTCAAATGCTGATGAGTTTCTTGCGCCCATTTTTCTCATGTCCTGAATGGGTGGAAGGCAAAATAATTGGACTATTATAAAGAGTTTTCAATAAGTCATTTTAATAAAGCATAATTTCATTTCATATCGGTCACACTTTAGTAATCTGTATCTTCAACAGAGACTACTGATTGATTGTGGTAAATCAAAAGAGACTTCGTAGAAAATTAGCGAGGGAATGAAATTAGTGTGATAGTAACACCAAATTTCATGTTAATTGTACTCTGCTCATTAAATCACCAAAGATTTCATAAGAAATACACCAAAGAAGGTATAAAACAGGAAACCAACTAGTCCCGGGGGCGTCTCAGTGAAGTGGCGCACACTAAGTTGCGTCGATCCTGAGAAGCCCCCATATGGGCGTAGGAGGGTACCGGGGGGGTTTTAGTGGAGTAGGATCAGTGTGGCCTTCCGCACTGGTCCTGCTTGAGTAGGGTCAGCACTGTTTCCCGTGCCGGCGAGTCCCACACACGCCGTGCGCCTAGTCAGCGTCACGGTATGGTGCGTAACTGCATTTCCCCTCGTCATATAAAAAAAAAAGGAAAGCAACTAGTGCAACCGTAGGAAGAATCATAAATCGGCCGCACAATATCAAAATTCACAAGTGCTGCGGTTTCCATACGACACTTGGAACCCGCCGTCGACGCCGAGCAATGACATATAAAATCATAGGCGCTAAGCATACAAATAATAATCATTAACAGAAATGCTACAATATACCCCAATATGATAGATAAACACCAGACAACCTCCGTGGCCGATTAGTATGGTTTCAAAGTGTCGCCTACTCGTAAAGTTCCGGACTCGAATCCCGGTGAGGCAAATGTTGGTGTGATGAATACGAGAATTTGTACCTGGGTCATGAATGTTTATAAAATATTTCTACATAAAACTATACTTTTATCTGTATCAGTTTCATTCTATCCGTTACCCTAGTATCCCATAATACCAGCCTTTCAGGCCTAACTTTGGTGCTAGGCTAATTGGTGGGAGTATTGAAAATATTGATATATTTACTTACTACAGTTGTGTAACTAGCCGTTGTTATTTCCAGCAACGAAGGAAGCAGCGTTCACATACGCGATAGCCGCGGCGGGCGTCACGCACGCGCTGGGGGCGGCCTGCGCACGCGGCGACCTGCCCAACTGCGCCTGCAACAACGGCAGGTTAGGCACATCATCAATCGACGAACAGTACTTTTTGACGTCATAACGCCTTATAAATCGATGAACGCCGGCTGCACGCACGAAAAAGTATGACATCATGTCATGTTATGTGACGTCATGTCACGAGTTTCGAGTTAGTTCAACGTTCCGGGGTATGTGTGAGGTGAGGTGAGTTCGAGGGGTTCCTTCGACCCAGACCAAGGGGTCTTTTGAAGGTTTTCGAGTCATATTAGTCCAGAAACACTGCTGGCGACAATAGTTCCACAGTTTTGACGTACGTGGTAAACATTTTCGACAAAACCGCACGGTTACTGATTACTGAGAGTAGGTTTCTCCTAAAGATCTCTACGTTGATCAGTCCTGAGCTGTCCGCATCCATCGGCTTCCCGTGACCTTACTAGATCATCAATCGACCTGAGGCAAGTACCCACTAAGCGTCGTCCGGTGCATGGTTGCAACAACGGCGGGCTAGCATCCATCATTCAACTATTACTTTATTACTGCCTCTGCTGCTAGGGAACAGATCGATGCAGAACAGACATAGCGAATGGTCGGGCATTCCTACCCGACTGTCAAAAAACTAGACCGATAATTGTTTTAGTTTCTGTTAAAACGGTGGCAAACAAGCATATGACCCGCCTGGTGGTAAGCGGTTACCATAGTCTATAGACGCTTGCGACTACAAAATTTATCGCTCGTACCGTTGCCTACTCTGACCAAATCCCGCGAAGCATACAACACCACCAATAGGTAGTGTTTTTTAGTGTGGTCCTTCGTAAGGTTCCCCCGGCAGGCGTTCCAATACGGAGAATGCCCTATGCCCTACCCCCTCTTAAATGTACAAAATTAATTAGATTGTTCGTGTAGACGGCGCGTGATGTCGGTCCCGGAACAGTGGGAGTGGGGCGGGTGCGAGGGCGCGGCGTGGGGCGCCCGGTTCGCGCGGCGGTGGCTCGACGCGCGCGAGCTGGAGGCCGACGCGCGCGCCGCCATGAACCTGCACAACAACCGCGTCGGCCGCAAGGTGAGCGAGGTACTGCACTCATATCGCAACGTGGTTCTGCTATACCACCACCACTCTCTGACGCTATGCTGACAACTATGAACCTGCACAACGACCGCGTCGGCCGCAAGGTGAGCGAGGTACTGCACTCATATCGCAACGTGCTTCTGCTATACCACCACCACTCTCTGACGCTATGCTGACAACTATGAACCTGCACAACGACCGCGTCGGCCGCAAGGTGAGCGAGGTACTGCACTCATATCGCAACGTGGTTCTGCTATACCACCACCACTCTCTGACGCTATGCTGACAACTATGAACCTGCACAACGACCGCGTCGGCCGCAAGGTGAGCGAGGTACTGCACTCATATCGCAACGTGCTTCTGCTATACCACCACCACTCTCTGACGCTATGCTGACAACTATGAACCTGCACAACGACCGCGTCGGCCGCAAGGTGAGCGAGGTACTGCACTCATATCGCAACGTGCTTCTGCTATACCACCACCACTCTCTGACGCTATGCTCACAACTATGAACCTGCACAACAACCGCGTCGACCGCAGGGTAAGCAAGGGACTTCACCGCTATCATAACGTGCTTCGGGTATACCATCTCTTCTTCTGCTATACTGTCTCTATTCCTGTTATACCACCGGCACTCTCTAATAATGGAGCTATCGCGATAACCATGAACCTCCACAAGGTGAGCGAGGTACTGCACTGCTCTCAGGACATGCTTCTACTATACCACCTCTTCTTCTGCTATACCACCTCCACTTCTAATCTCCTCCTCGCTTCAGTTTCCTAAATGCTAAGGGTTGTGAACTACTTCGCAGAAAGAGCTCCATCACTCACATCACTGGACACTGAAAGCGGTGCAGAACTGATTAATCGAACGTATTGGGCTTTTTCCACTTGATCTTTTACCCTCTACTCTGCCTGTGACTGTTAACCTCTCCAGGTTTTCGTCATTGTTTTTGCTATACCAGCAACACTCTCTGACACTGGGGCTGAACCATCGTGAGAACCATGAACCTGTACAACGACCACGTGGACCGCAAGTTATGTGAGGTACTGCACTGCTATCATAATTTACTTTGGCTATACATCCATCACCTCTGCTATACGACGGAGCAGCACTATCAAAAACCGCGTTAGCCGCATACTGCTGTGCTGCTATCAAAACGTATATAATACCTATATATATAACACTTGTTCTTCTACTATACCACCTCCACTTCTGCTGTACCACTTCTACTATCACCTTAGCATAGGTTTGCTCAATACTAATGCTTTTGGCTACCACCTCGCAGCAAGAGTGTTGTAGATAACTTGCTTGATGCCATTTATTTCGATCTGCCGCTAAGTGTAGTGAATCGTGAACTATCGAGAGCGATGCGGGTCTGATCAATCCAACATGTTGGGCTTCTTCCAGTTGGTCTTTACCCTCCACTTTTCCTGTGGCCATTAATCTCCTCTGGAATTGCAAACGTCTCTAATATAATATTTTATCTACCTTTTACCTTTTTTATAGATCCAAAATGAATATAGAAAGATTGTGTTTGACTATAGTTTATCAAATTTAAATCACCGGCTACACCAAGTCCATAAAACAAGTGAAAAGCAGAGGGATAGGGTACATCAGGTGTTATTTTCGTGTTATACAATCACGTGTTATTTTAATGCAAAATCCCGTTGCTTGACTTCCTTATCATCACTAATACTATAAATATAAAACCGTAAGCTCCGTTCGAATTGCCGTGAGCCGTTTCCACTCAAAACAAGATATCTCTTGAAACTAGTGAAATCGGTGAAGTTTTCTAAAGTAATTAACATCAAACATATGTCATCAATTGGACTTATAGAAGCGTTTACGCACCGAAGAAATCGTCTCATCAACATGTAAATGCAACGAATTACAGAAACTTGCACCACCCGCGGCTTCTGATTCGCCCCTAATTGCCGATACGGCGCGCCCGCGGCCGCCGCGTGAGAAAACGGACTCAACAAAACCTGACATTATCATTCGTTTCGCGAACGCACTGCGTACAAACAGCAATGATCACCACTCACACGCACATTAGTTCCCCGCTGTGTTATTTGCCAAGTGGCTCATTACGATTTTATTCTATTTTTCCGCTCAAAATAGCGATAACGTTTATGTTTTATTTTTGTCCCGCACCCACTAATGGAAGTAAAGGCGCCGTGCCGTAAAGTTCAATGTTTTGACTTTATCACTTTTATGACTTAGGAGTCGTTAGTTAATATTGAAGATTATTAATTTGATTTGTATATCTATGTATATAAAAGGGTAAATCCCGCTCTTTAGTGTAATTAACATCCATAACATATTTTTAAGTAATAAATGTATCATCACCATCGACCTTAATGTCCTCACTACTGGGGCGCAGGCCTGAACCTGTGGATAGAATAGGGAGATATTTATTCATCGTTGGTCACATTATAAGCCTTAAAGTATGTAGTATAGAAGTATGCAGTCTTCTTCTTCTTCTTTTTCTTTTTTTATGGCATGCACGGTTTGTGCGTTCAGCCAATGTCAAGTAAAAAAGTATGCAGTCGGTAACCATTACTTACCTTAGTTTTTTTTTTAATTTTGTCAATGTTTTTGTTAGTGTTTTTTATTAATGTGTAGTTGACTTCCATTATTCGGCATCCACTGACATGTATCCGCTAGCTTTAATCCAATGGTTTTCAAATAAAATAATAATTATGTTCAATTATTCTAAAAGCTTAAAATGGAGACGTATCGTGAGAGGATAAAATATAATATTACGCCATGTAAATAAACAAAAGCAAGTCCATTGCTAAACTGAGTTCCCGTCGCTTGTGCACGAGTACTTTAGTACCTCTTATTCCTTTTGGTGCGCGGAGCACTCATTAGCATTTGTATTATTATGAGTAATGTGCGACTGTCGGTGGTCTCTGCTATGCAATTATACAGCACTTATAGAGCACCCATACAGCACTTATACAGCAGTTGTATAGCTATCAACAAAGGTAACGACTGGCTATTATCGTAACCACTCTACGATAATTAGCGTGCTTTGGTTATTTGGATTTAATTCGAGATAGTCACTCTCACCAAGACAAGGAATAAGCTAAGGGTGTATTCCGAATCAAACACCAGTACGTTGGCCAGTGGTAATGACGTCATGATTTCGACGCCATATTGACAACACTACTACTGGACGATGGATAAACACAAGTTAAGACTCATTACTTTCAACTGTAAGGATATAAAGAAGTCTATGCAGTGCGTTAGAGAATTATGTAGTAAGGCGGATGTGATAGCACTGCAAGAAACGTGGCTGCTTCCACACGACATTTCATTGCTGGACGAGGTTGACCTTGAGTTGAGTGCGACAGGAGTATCGGCGGTGGATACGAGCGCGGGGCCGCTGCGCGGGCGTCCGCACGGCGGTGTGGCGCTGCTGTGGCGCCGCGGCGCCTTCTCCCATGTCAAGGTAGTGCAGTGTAATCACGAAAGGATTTGTGCCATACAAGTTTCGGTGAGTAATCGATCTTTCTTGGTGGTTAGTGCGTACTTACCGACTGATTGCTCTGAAAACTTAGTATTGTTTACGGACTGTATGAGCGCAATTAGTGCTATTGTAGAAAGTGTCGGAGTGGAATGTGTATATGTCTTGGGTGACTTTAACGCGCACCCGGGGAGGCAATTTGGTAACGAACTGTTGTCTTTTTGTAACGACCAGAAGTGGTTATGTGCGGATGTAGAAAAACTGGGCATTGACTCTGGATCTTATACTTATGTCAGTGATATACACGGAACACGGAGTTGGCTCGATCATTGTCTCGTTACTGGGGCGGCATGGGAATCTATTCTGAATATAAATGTATGTTATGGTATTTACTGGTCTGATCATTATCCATTACAAATTAATTGTAATCTAGAAATAATGAAATGTACAATTGAACCAAAAGTTAAACGTTATAATTACGCTATATGGGGGGAGAGGGACATAAATCAAATTCATGAATATAATAAACTTTGTCATAATAAATTAAGAGAATTAAATTTTCCTATTGAATGTAATCATTGTTCTGACTTTTTATGTAGTAATAAGGACCATAGAAAAATTATTAATACAATGTATAACAATTTAATTGACATATTGAATGACGCGTCTATATTGACAAGTAGTAGGTGTGCTAGGACGATTAAAGATCGCTGTAACAAACGACTGCACGTTGTCGGTTGGAATAAGCACGTAAAACACCTGCACGGTCAGGCGCGGCTGCATTATGGGGTGTGGGTTCTTTATGGAAAACCGAATTGTGGATTATATTATAAAAACATGTGTGATAGTCGAAAGAAATTTAAAGCTAAGTTAAAATGGTGTATAAAACAGCAGGAACAAATAAAAATGGATATTTTGGCAACTTCACATAAATCCAAACGCTTTAAAGAGTTTTGGAAGGAAACCAATAAGTTAAAATGTAGGCCGCGTCTGCCTGTCAATGTTGACGGGGTGAGTGAGCCCACGGCTATTGCTAACATGTTTAGGGGGCACTTCATAGTACAGGCACAACCTTTAGAACCGGGGCCAGTAGTGAGTAACGTGACTACTGCAAAGAAACATAAGGCTTCCGGCGTGCCTCTAGTGATTATAACTGCTAAAGAAGTTGCGAAGGTCATTGAACACATGACCAGGGGTAAATCTCCTGGTCATGATGGCTTAAGTATTGAACATTTTAAACATGCTGGGGCTCACTTACCGAGGGTGTTAGCGCTTATTTTCAATCTGTGCATACGACACTCGTACCTGCCACCACCTTTGATGAAAACTATAGTTGTACCTATTATCAAAAACAAGACGGGAGACTCATCCGATAAAACCAATTATAGACCCATTTCATTGGCAACAATAACAGCTAAGGTGTTTGACGGTGTTCTTGATCGTCGCTTGAGTGACCACATTAATCTGCACGATGCCCAATTTGGTTTCCAAAAAGGGTTATCGACAGAGAGTGCCATCTTGGCGCTTAAGAGCACCGTTAGATACTACACGGACAGAAGCACGCCAGTGTATGCGTGCTTCTTAGATCTGTCAAAAGCTTTTGATATGGTGTCATATCCAGTGTTATGGAATAAACTGGATGGGGTGAATCTCCCGTCTGAGCTCACAGGCATCTTCAGGCACTGGTATGAGCATCAGGTAAATTGTGTGAGATGGGGGGACGAGCTATCGGAGGAATACGGGTTGGAGTGCGGGGTGAGACAGGGGGGGTTGACCTCTCCTAGGCTTTTCAACCTTTACGTGGACCAGCTGGTCCGTGAGCTCAGCGGCATGCATGCGGGATGTTCAATCGATGGCGTTAATGTCAACAACATCAGTTACGCGGACGATATGGTGCTGCTGAGCCCGTCGATCAGTGCGCTCCGGAGTTTGTTGCACGTGTGTGAGACCTATGCGAAAGTTCACGGGCTAAAATATAACACTACAAAAAGTGAGATAATGGTTTTCACCGCGGGTAACAATTCTCCACAAAATGTGCCTCCTGTCAGGCTATGCGGGGAGGAGTTGTTGAGGGTTCAGCAGTACAGATACCTGGGCCATATTTTAACAGAAGACCTGAAGGATGACCAAGATATTGAGCGAGAGCGTAGGGCGTTGGCGGTCAGAAGCAACATGATCGCCCGTAGGTTTGCACGGTCTTCAGAGCCAGTTAAGTTAACCCTTTTTAAGGCTTTCTGCCAATCTTTTTACACTGGCAGCCTATGGGTGAGTTATAAGCAGAAGACATACAACGCACTACGTGTACAGTATAATAATGCTTTCAGGATGTTGTTGGGGCTGCCGTGGCGCTGCAGCGCGTCAGGTATGTTTGCCGAAGCGCGAACAAATGATTTCTACGCAATAATGCGCAAAAAAGTTACCTCTCTCATGAAGAGAGTTTATGACAGCCACAATAACATCTTGAAGGTTGTAGGGGGCAGGTACGAGTGTCCTATAAGTAATCACTGGACAACTGTACTTGTAAAATGTAATGAAATGCAATAACTTAATAATGTAGGTAATTATTATGAATTTTTAATGTTAATTTTGTAATTATTTTTATTGACATTGTAATTTTGTATTTATTTGAATTATTTTGTTGTTGACATTTCTAATTTTGTATTTATTGTATTTTTGATTGTAATTTGTATGCTTTTATAATTATTATTCTTGTTTTTTTTTTTTTTTTTTTTTTTTTTATGTGGTTTATATGGCTAAATGGCTGAAATAAATGAATTGAATTGAATTGAATTGAACTACTACGCCAGTGCAATATGGCGTCGAAATCATGACGTCATTACCGCTGGCCAGCGTACTGGTTTATATTTCGGAATACACCCTAAGGGTACGGCCAGAGTGCACTCAGATTCAGATTCAGATTCCGAAAACAAGCGCGAGAAATAAACGGTGTAGTCGAAGGGTACGGCCAGAGTGCACTCCTGATTCAGATTCAGATTCAAACTCAGAAAACAAGCGCGAGAAAAAGCAGGCAACCTGTTTAGACTACACTGTTTATTTCTCGCGCTTGTTTTCGGAATCTGAATCTGAATCTGAGTGCACTCTGGCCGCACCCTATGACTAGTTACGCCGTGTTTTGTTCATGCCACTTAAATGTCATTTGTCATTCAATGAATAGGGACTTTTGGTCTGTCATGAACACATGGAGTAACCAATCCAAGCTTATTTTTCCTAAATTAATAGAGTGGGTTAAGTGTTTTAAACCATTTTCATTAAATTTACTTTTTAAGTACGTGTTGAATTCCGGCCTTACTTTTTGTGGTAATATAAGGCTATTATCGTAATAATTATTGCTTTTATTTATTTACTATGCTGACCTACTTGTTTTTTTTTTTAGTATGTACTCTATGATTTAGACAATAATAAGAAATTATATCTTGTTTTCATGCACGATTTACTTAAAAAGAATTTGTAATGTTTGAGACTTATCTAGTCCATATCTACCTTATTTACTAAGTTGTATTATGTTATGTGCATTTTAAAGTCATTTTGAGGCACCAATTTTGATGTTTTTTTTATACAGAGATACATACATAGAGGACATCGAAAATGATAATTTTGCCCCAGAAAATAATTTTAGATGGAATGAAATTAGGAATTAAATTGTCAATTTATTTTTTGGCAACAATAAGTATATTATTGGAAGTATCTACTTACATAAAATAAAAAATAAACATTTTACATAATATAATTTGTTTGAACCGTCTTTCGTTCCGTAATTGATGAAAATAATTATGATTATAGAAATTTATTAACCCTAATATTTTGAATTATTAACATCATTATTTAATTCGGCATAATTTATTGAAATAGATTACTTAAACGGTTAACTAAAATTTTGTATTTTTAAGCGCCGTGCATATTTTTAATTTAGGAGCATATGTATCATTATTCTCCGGACATGTACTATATAAAATTCTCGTGTCACGGTGTGCGCAATTAAACTACTCCGAAACGGCTCGACCGATTTTCGTGAAATTTTATATGCATATTCAGTAGGTCTGAGATGCGAACAACATCTATTTTTCATCCCCCTAAATGTTAAGGGTTGACATGTTGACACAATTATATTTTTTATGATACATCATACAAAAATATATACAAGCCTACATTTTCACCCTGCTGCCACCAACTATTTTTTTATGGCGGTACAAAGTTCGCTGGGACAGCTAGTATTAGATATATAATGGTGCCATATCTGGTGTGATTCTCTAAACTTAAAACCAAATTTAACTTCAGTCACTCCTTTTCATTCTGTATAGAGAATGACAAGGATATACTGCTGTCAAATTTAAGTTTAGGTTTAGAGAATCATGCTAGAATCGACACCAAACCAACAAAATTATAATGATAGGACACATATCAATTTATATCAGATTTGTTTCTTAGGTTTTCACGCACATCACTCATTAAATAAAACTAGTTTTTACGGGTTAATGCACGAAACTTTTATTTATTGACGTTTCGTAGCCTTTACAGGCTACGTCGTCAGAATCAAACTTTTATTTCTTTTATTTATTTCTAATAAAAGTTTGATTCTGACAATGTAGTCTGTAAAGGCTACGAAACGTCAATAAATAAATAAAGTTTCGTGCATTAACCCGTAAAAACTAGTTTTATTTAGTTTATATCAGTTTTAGTCGGCGAGTAGTATGATTTAAATCTTTACTAGAAAAAAAAATCCACGCGGACCAGGCAGCGGACGGGACTCGAACCCGCACCCTTCGCAATCCGGGCGAATGCACTGACCATTATGCTACCACGGCCCTATTCGCCGCGTCGAAATTTTCCTAGCCTTAAGCAGCAAGGCAGCGCCATCTCTTCGCATTGTAGGTAACCCACAATGTCAAACGAATACTCTTTCAAGTATTCGTCTTTCTCTATTCATTCGAAAGAAGAAATAGCAATTATAGTATCGCCCGGATTGCGAAGGGTGCGGGTTCGAGTCCCGTCCGCTGCCTGGTCCGCGTGGATTTTTTTCTAGTAAACTTTTCTTTAGATTTAAACATGTAGCAGTTGAATGCTTAAAAATAAATAAAAACATGATTTAAATCATTAAATATTCCCTGGTGTCAGTTGGTGAAGGACATGGTCCGCCACGAGTGCAAGTGTCACGGCGTGTCGGGCTCGTGCGCGGTGAAGACGTGCTGGCGCGCGCTGCCCCCCTTCCCGCTGGTGGGCGCCGCGCTCCGGGACAAGTACCGCCGCGCCAGGCTGGTGCACGCGCTGCCCGACGCCGGTGCCCCGCGACCACCCCACGCGGGGGGGGACGTGCTGCCCTACCACACCCCCAATGTCATGAGGCAGATGCCGCAACTAGTGAGAAGGTCGGTCTTCGTTTTAAACTTTCATGTAACATTATAGTAATATAAGTGAACACATAAAAGCAATCAAGAACAACGATACGCAGAAATCAGCCCTCGCGGAACATTTGATTGATTCTGGTCCTAACCACTGGATTGAGTTTCACAACCCACAGATTATCTCGAAAGAACGCCACTACATACCAAGATTGGTCAGGGAAGCGATTGAAATGACAAAACATAAAAATTTCAATCGTGAGGACGGGAAACTGTTTAATTCCAGACATGACACTCGACATGTCTGGAATCCTGTGGTTCGTATGTGTAAAACCGGAAATAATCAAAAAAGCGTCGTGTCGCGATCCGATACTGTAAGTTTTGTGTGTCGAGAACAGTTTCGAGTGAATAGTGAGAATGTAAACAGTGGTACGGGTATCGAACGCAATAAAAGACTTCGTCGGAGGGTAGACCGATATGTCTGCCAATAAACAGCCTACCCGCAATTACTTCAGTTACTCCGTGATCATGGCGCTTGCAACAGTGCCGAAATATCGGAAACTCGCTAAAAACAAGCATGGTAACAATCCCGTAAATAACATATATTACTATAAGGTTGGTCTTCGTAACTGTTCCCTAAAAATATTTTGGATGTGTAACATCTTTCCTCTCGCTTTCGTGCAATTTGTGGGAGTGATTACGTGAAGTGGGACGGAAGTGTGTAACAGGAAGTTTGGGAAGCGCGCGCTGTTTGATTTGATTTTAGAACATAATGTTCAAATGGCTTATTCCTTTTGTAGTAGGTTTTATTTCTCTTTTTACTTATATAAGGCGAGGTTTCAAATGTTACACATCATACGCGACTACTGTAAGGCTTCGAATCCCAAAGAGTGCAAATGTTTGTGTGATGAAAACGCGGTTCTGTACCAGTCACGGGCATTTTATATGTATTTATATTACGGGGATGGAATTGGAAGATTGGGCCACGAGCCACCACGCGGGCCCAGTGCGGAGTGACGGGTGCTAACGACTGCAGATGCAGCCGGGACCCACGACTTAACGTGCCATCTGCTTCGGATGCAACTCGAGATAGAAGATTTTTGGTCACCCGTCCAATGACCGACCACTGCGAAAGTTGCTTTACTGCAACAATCGCAGCCGAACGCGCTCACCACCAGCGCCATCGAGCTCCTCCGCATCCGATATTATCAACCGATAATACCGCATGCTGTCAAATGTACAAACAGAAACACTACGAATAGCTATGTGAAAACATTGTATGTTTGTTAACCATTACCATCAACTTATTAATGTAGCCACTTCTGGTGCACAGGCCTTCCCAACAGATGGCATAGGGAGATTGGACCACGACATGATTGTACAATGCAGATTGGTAGATGCTAACGACTGCAGATGCAGCTGGGACCAACAGCTTAACGTGCCTTCAGAAATACGGAGAAGATAGAGCTCATGAATTTGAAGTCGGCTGATAGCCGCTTTCTTGATCACAGACAAAACGTACTAACCACTGAGTCATTAATCACCCTCATCATAATAATATCCATTTTAAATCAATCCGCTAAGAAATTAGTTGTGGTTGCAACTAGAGATGCCATCCGTTTGGATTTGTCCGGACATGTCGTCTTTTAATCTTTTGCCCGGTTTATGTTTATATAGCACGTTGATTTGTAACTAGTTCCGTTTCTATTGAAATTAAACTTATTGATATGTTTTTGATTAGATATATTTTTAATAGAAAAAAATATCTAGAAAAGAAAAGTCCACGCGATCCAGGCAATTTTGTTCTAGCTTTTTTCTAGAGTTATACATCTACAAGTTAATGCTTAAATTTTATTTTAATATATATAACTATATTAAACATGTAATCTAAGAAAAGGAACTTCATTTCGAAAGTTGCTTTAGGTTGTCGGTCCATAGTAAGCTATGGATCTACTAACCATTTAACTATTTTATTGAAAACCGGGCAAACTAATAAACCCACCTGACGTATCAGCAGCGTCACTGACATTATAAGTGTAGTGCACCCCATTGATCCATATTTATTTGTAACATTTACTGTTCCCATTGTAGGAAGGAAAAAGGGGAAGATCTTCCTCCGAGCTGGGTGATGGTAGCTCGGGGGCCGCGGCCCTACTGATGTTGGTCGGGCATCTTATATATGAACTGTTTCTTACATTGTGAACGCAGCGCCGGTAGTGCCATCTCTTGAGGAGGCGTAAGATTGTTTCCTCTATGTTAGTTATATGTGGGGCGTGTAGATGTCGCCGCCACACCATAATTTAACAAATACGAAAAGGTGTGCGATCCGATATTTGGCATTAGTTTACATTAATTTGTTTATATTTGTTGATGTTTCCAAGTGATTATTATTTTACCGGCAGGACTCGGAACGGCGCTCGTCCCGCTCGCAAGTCGGAGCTGGTGTACCTGCAGCCGTCGCCGTCGTACTGCGAGCCCGACCCCGCCGCCGCCGCGCCCGGCACGCGCGGACGACACTGCAACCATACGGCCACTGGTACCATATTCAAACAATCAATACATTAGTTATAATTTTTATTATTTTTAAAGCATGTAACTGCTTGATGTTTGATTGATTTGATTGTGGGTTTACCTATAATGCGAAGAGATGACGCTGCCTTGCAGCTTAAGAATAGCTAGAAAGAATTTCGACGCGGTCCGTGAGGGCCGCGGTAGCATAATTGGTCAGTGCATTAGCCCGGATTGCGAAGGGTGCGGGTTCGAGTCCCGTCTGCTGCCTGGTCCGCGTGGAATTTTTTCTAGTTATATTTTCTTTAGAATCAATACATTACTTTATTTTAAGTACCTACTACCTACAATACTATCCGTATACAGCGTTGTATTACAAATCCGGCCCGTACGATTGACACTGCAACTATACCGCTCCTGCTATCTGATGCCTCTCCCACATTTGCATGACGAAGCTTGGATTCTAAATGCGCTAAAATTAGCGTACGAAATTTGAATTAGTGCTATCACAAGTGACTCTTTCAGCTACACTTTCTCATATATTTCAGTCATCATACTATTCTTATTTTCATAAAACTCAACAGTCTTCAATATTAACGCTTAATAAATAATGCACACCTGTTCCTTCGTGCACGGTCCTCGCCAAAAAGACCATTGACGATTCAGGTCAAAGGATTACTTAGGTCAACAGACTGTCTTATTAAGATTACTGTTACGTTACGCCATGTATTATCATTATGAGACGAACATCTTAGCAATCTATGGATTCACCGTTAGGGTGCCGATTCATCGTGTGGGATAGAGAGAAACTCCGAGCAGTTACCGGGACTTGCGACCCAGGTGTAGGTTTAAGCAGGCGCCCTTTAAGACTAAAAATAAATTAATGAATATTTTTGAATATAATTCTAAGAACATTTACTTAAAAAACCATAATTGACTTTTGAATCATACAATTTAATAGTAATATCCGCAATCAAAATAAGGATAAGAGCATCTCTCATCATTATATGTAATATGTGATCGTCTGTTAAGAATAGTATTGGAATGAGACTTACAATTTTTTATTTGTCCAGGCGAGGAGGGTTGCTCGCACGTATGTTGCGGGCGCGGCTGGCGCTCGGTGCCGGTGGTGTCGCGCGACAAGTGTCGCTGCCGGTTCCGCTGGTGCTGCACCGTCGCCTGCGACATCTGCGTCACGCGATCCACTGCGCACGTGTGCAACTGATCACCGGCCCGCGCTACTATATCAATGCTAACTACGCGTCTACAATTGACGACCTCTATGTGCCACTATGAGCACCTAACTCTGATTGAAACTGACCAATCCACATGCTACACGTATGCGATTTACCACCACTCCACGTCAATCAAAATCGCTGTTAGTGGCTACTAACAGAGATAAGGATAAGAGGAATGCACGCAGGGAGTGTCGCTGCCGGTTCTGCTGATGCTGCTCCGTCGCTTGCGACACCTGCGTTCCATAGTTCACTGTGCACGTATTCATCTGAATACCTACGGCTACCATATCAACCCCACCCACCTATTGATAATCTCTATACGCCACGACTGACCGTGAATAACAACGAGCCGCACACTACTTGTCTGCATCTACCACTACGCCAATAACTCGGGCCAAAACCAAGCACAAACAGCCATTCATAACGATAAATGAGAATGAAATGGTAACTGTGAACGAAATAAACCACTAACAGCTACGAGAGCCCAACACTACGTCCATGACTCTACTGATGATCACTCCATTATTACCTTGCGCCTGTAAATCTGATTAAACCGACTACAGAAGGCCATGAACTGACAACCTTTTTATGCCAACTATTCCACACGCAACTTTGATCGAAACTAACCGTGGACACCCACAAGTCTCACACTACATGTCTGCAATTACCACTACGCGTCACTAACTCGGACCAAATGCCAGCACTAACAGCAATTAAAGCTAAAAGTGGTGCACGCAGTAATGGGTGATGCCAGTTTTGCTGGTGTTGCTCCGTCGCATGCGACACCTGTGTCACCAGATCCACTGTCCACGTGTACAACTGATGACCGAGCGTCACCACCTCGAACCGGAACTTGGCTAGGAACTCGAACCAAAACGACCATTAATAGCAACGAGAGAACATTACTATATTATCTCTAAAACCTGATGGCTATATGCTCGAATCGAAAGAGACAACTGACATCCACGAGCTTTACCCTACACGTCCGCAACTGAGGACCTTCCACCGTTGCTACCTCCGCTTTCTGATAAGTCTGATTGAATTTGAAAAAGAGCATTAATAGCTACAAGTTTCACCCTACACATCTTGCAATGAAACATCTATAAACAACGTCGTGGCATTGAAGCAAAATAGATTACTGACTGCCACAATCGGATATCATCTATTCGTCTGCAACTTTGTTTTGAAGTTGAAATTATTGTGAAAAACTATTTTGTGAATAAGAATCGTGAATTAATGATGGACAATAACTTTAACTTATTGCTGATGACTAACATATAAAAATATTTTTCACTAACAAATCAGAATTCAATGTAGGTAAAGAACGCCAGCGCCAAAAGACGCGTGGTGCGATACCGTCCAGTGAATTAATATGTATTATTGTGTTTCTTTATTAATGTTTCGATATTAAGTTGTTTTAGCGTTATTTTTTTCGTTTATTTAATTATATCTAGTGATGTAATTGTTTGACAATCGCATAATACTCGTGTTTTTAACGATTTTATAATAATGTATATTGAGTTTAATAAATATTGTATATTGAGAAAATTTTGGTAAACCAACTAACGTATGTCACGCTTAAAGTGCTCGTGTTATTTCTCTTCCATGTTAAGGAGTCGACTCTATATTGCTTGAAGTACTTAATTTGTCTATTTTTTATTTTAACTGCAGTAATGACTAAGGATAGTTAATTTCTTAAAAGGAAGAAAAATAAAATAAGTATAATAAGTTAATTTGATGCACTCATTAAAAATAAAAAAATGGGTGCGTGTACTTATGTAGGCGCGTGAGAAGTTATCCTTCTTTGGCATCGTTTAAAATTAGTTTTTAATTGCATGCAAATAATTAATTACAATAAATTAATAAAAAGTCTGGAAAAGGGCACAGTCAATAAAGTTCAGTTTTAATTTGAAAAAATAAATAAATAATCAAAATATTCAATTAAAATCGCTACTGAATATAATTTATTAGAACATATGTGATTTGCACTTGTATGAAACTCAAACACGTATTCCGAATATACAAACTAGAAACATGTGGATAAATATTATAAATATGAATACCTATAACTGTTACTTTATTACAAAAAATAAAGATGTGGTTTTTGGTTCTACTACACCAATGGTCAAGAGATGGCGCTGTAGTCTCCTGAATCGCGCTTTGGTTCCGTTGTTCCAGATTAATAAATACTTTTGATATTATAAATATGAATACCTATAACTGTTACTTTATTAGAAAAATAAAGATGTGGTTTTTGGTTCTACTACACCAATGGTCAAGAGATGGCGCTGTAGTCTCCTGAATCGCGCTTTGGTTCCGTTGTTCCAGATTAATAAATACTTTTGATAGGCCTTCACAATGCAGTCGTTAGCACCCACTAAATAGAGATTCTATTTCTATTTTGTTGGTAGATTTTCTTACTGTGCGGTAAACACAAAAGTAACAGCATGAAGTTGGTGCAACTTCATGCTGTTAAAATTTTGTGTTACGGTGATGCGCGCGCATCTTAAAATTTCACTCTCATCATTTTTTCATAACGCGCCTAAAGAAGTATAACTTCAATAAATACACGACATAGTTACATTACATTTGACTGTAACACAAAAAATTATGAAATAGTGGTGAACCATGCAACTTTCTCTTGTTTTTATTCAACACATTTTCTTTTTATTCGAATAAAGCGCAAAATTCGTACCTTTCCGAAAAAATCCGATTTGATGGACACCCTAGTTAGCTAACTTTAACTATGTACTTACAATCAAAGACTTTACAAATATTCGTCCTTATTGCGCATTAATAAAATCCACATTTACATTGCACCAATGTTTTCAGTAACATGTCTTTGAATTTAAAATTAAATCTCTTTGTCGAGCTTCAATGGTTCCAAAAGACAACTATACATAGCGCCGTTATTAAATTGATATGACTGTTGAAGTCCCCAGAACTTAGATATTAAATAATTGTCAAAAATACAAATTATAAAAATTTCGAAGTGCTGAACAAAGTATTTGTATTCAATTAATGAACAAACTTGGGTTATTTTTTTAAAATTAGCCGACGGTTCGCATTATCTCTTGCCAGTACCGAGTATTACTTGTGTTAATTTATATATTGTAAATATGTCCCACTCGTGTGGTTGCTTTAGTATCATACTTAGTTAGCAAGCGTTTAACTTAAGACTATGCGGCTTTAACTTTATCTGTTAAGTTCTAGTCTTTTTCGGCCGAATTTCATAAAATGAAAGTTTTTTACATTTTTCTAGTTATATAATAGCTCCGGAATATAATGTAATCAACTCTTTCTGAAATGATTTATTACCATGAGAAAACATTACGAAATATCATGGTGTGTAGATTTTTAACAAAATAACTAATTACTTATTTAATCGTCACTAATTTTTCACTTAACCAAAACTTATTTCGGCCGAAAAGTGATTGCAGAGCAAAAGCGCAACCAAGCTTGTGCCTAAACTACTGTGTCATTGTACTCGCGTTGCAGGTACACATATGGACATACTCATAATATGCTATGACATTCCTTCTAAGATAAATAACTTATTCACTTTAACATGTGCGATTTATAATAAAACATTGTTTTACAAACTTCTGTTTTTTCTTTGCCTTTAATAATATGCAAAGGCTTTGCTCAAAATATCATCATCATCAGCCTATTAATGTCCCCACTGCAGGGGCACAGGCCTTCCCTATGAATGGAATAGGGAGATTGGGCCATGACCCACCACGCGGGCTACAGATGCAGCCGAGACCAACGGCTTAACGTGCCTTCCGAAGCACGGAGGAGCTCGAGATAGAAAATTTTTGGTCACCCATCCAATGACCGACCATTGCTAAAGTTGCTTAACTTCAACGATCGCAGCCGAACGCGCTAACCACTTGCGCCATCGAATCCCTCTCATATTCAGAGCTCAAAATATAATAGAAAAAAATAACAACTAAATTTAAAATAAAAAATACAACTGGATTGACTTTATCATCTCTCCCTCCTCTCTCCAAATTTAAGAGCTATGCTCTTGTCGGTGCAGTCTATACATCCCCCGCCATATCCATCTTAGTCGAATGTGTAGAATATACGAATACTAGAGGCCGCCCGTAACTTCGTCCACGTTAACTTTAGTTTTTCTGAGAATCCCTCAGTAACTCCTGGCAATAAATGTGTATGTATGCAAAATTTTACTGAAAGTTCGATAAGCCCTTTTCCGAATTAATCAAGCCCTGCCGTAAAATACTCCCCATTAAAATTCACTATCCCTTTTCATCTCGTTAGGGGTAGAGTTTCAAAGAACCCTGATACATGGTTATTCTTTATTTCAGGTTTCAAGTACAAATTAATGTAATGCTCGTTAAAATTCATCCATATAAAAACTTGGGCACCCTCAAAGCATTAGCGGTACTTTGGGCAACCGAAAATGACGAAAGTATTATTTATTTAGATAAGTATTCGCACCACGTTTTAAGTCTATTAACTCAAGGAATAAGATTTTTATACAAACTTTTTCCCTTTGTCACTCGGAGTATTCTCTATGTATTGAGAAGAGAAGCCAGACAGACTGGTACGGATTTTGAAAAAAGTGGACATTGGAAATATACGGATTTAAAAAATACTATAAGATAGAACTAATGAAACAGAACAATAAATGTTTTATGCATTTTTTTATAAAAATGCATCATTCATATTTAAAAAAGTATTGAAAAAAAAATGTATAGCAGATAAACCTTTTTATTTTTTTCTCGAGACTCTCATGAGCTGTCAAAGTTTAATCAATACAGTGATTTAGAACGTAATTTTCTTATATTAACACATATCAATTAAAATAATTTGCTGTCACGCGCGGCTTTGCGTTTGAGTGGGTTTCAAAATTAAAATATTTTATTAAATTTTTTCTTCGTGTTTTCGGTTCATCAAACACTGTACTCATAAAGTAGATGATATTATTGCATTTTTTTTAATCTTTGACAGAAGCACACTACTTATAAATAAAAAAATAATTATTAGTGTCCATTGGAATTATTTTGATTATTTTAAAGACAAAGCTAAAGAGAAATATTTTTTTATAAATGAATGACGCATTTTTATGAAAAGTTGCATATAACATTTATTGTTCTGTGTCATTAATACTATCTAATAGTATTTTATAAATCCGTATATTTCTAATGTCCACTTTTTTCAAAATCCGAATCAGTGTGTGGCGCCGTAACGTGTTACATAACGAAGCGGTATACCCTCTCATAAGAAGTTATCAGTTCAAAAAAGAGACTGAATATGTAGTTCTAATATTCACGCCATTTGGAAATGCACTTTATTTTCATAAAAGAAAATTTTTGCTTCATAACTTTTATGTTAGGTAAAGCTACTGTTTTCTCGTAAATGTGTTGATAAACAAAACGTTGTATGACATTCGTGCGGGATTGGTATTTTCAAACTCGGGACTGGTACGTGCTGACGTGGTAAGCCGTCGACTTTCATCATCATCATCATCAGCCTATTAATGTCCCCACTGCTGGGGCACAGGCCTTCCCTATGGATGGAATAGGGAGATTGGGCCATGACCCACCACGCGGGCCCAGTGCGGATTGGTGGGTGCTAACGACTGCAGATGCAGCCGGGGCCAACGGCTTAACGTGCCTTCCGAAGCACGGAGGAACTCGAGATAGTAAATTTTTGGTCACCCATCCAATGACCGACCACTGCGAAAGTTGCTTTACTTCAACGATCGCAGCCGAACGCGCTAACCACTTGCGCCATCGAGCTCCACGGCTGCATCTGCAGTCGTTGTCGTCGACTTTACCCGTTTGTAATAACCAATTTACAGCAATTATATCATAAATAACTATTTTAAATTAAAATGGTGGCATACGAGCATAAGGCCCGCCCGCGCCCGCCTGATGGTAAGCGGTCACCATAGCCGATAGACGGTTGCTTTACAAATAATATCGCCCTGACACAATCCCTTATCCCGTGGAGCCCTGAAACCTCATTCATCTACAGAAACATAACACGATCAAAAGGTAGTGTTATTTTACGGTAGTCTTCTGTAAGGATGGATGTTACTTCTCTAGAAGAGCGCTCCAATTTGAGCGGAAAAACCGCTATGCCCTACCTCTCATAAGTATTGTAATTCAAGACTCTTCTCAGTACAAAGTCTCCCGTCGTAGTTTTGCGAACCGATGGCGTAGCTTCTTGACCTTCACAAGTGCTTGTAACAGCCTAGACTGAATAAATGACTTCATTTCATTTCAAGAGAAAAAGTAGCAAAAAATATGAAGATTAATCCATAATCCCTGTAAATTAAAAGGGATTCTTTTTTCTTATAATGAAGCAGATTTCTTATTAATTATGAATTAAATGTTGTCAATTTATTCGTAGCTCGTTAAAAGTTCTGTACAATATTGCGTATTACAACGAAGCGGAAGTCTGTAGAAGCGAAGGACTCTTTACAAACTTTTAACTAACAAAATATGTATTAATAACTTTTTTTATTTGAGTCATATCTTTTGAAAATGTTTGTTTTTGGAACGCTCGTTTGCTTAACAAGGCTCATTCACATTGATCGTTCGTGTCGTGTAGGATACTTGTTTTTTTTTTTAAATTCTATCTATTTTCATTCTTGACCGCTCAGTCCTCAGCCCCCAATCTCTTAAAAAAGGGAACAAATGGAAATGGAATCCCAAATTCTCAAACCAAATCAAAATCATGTATTCAGCACAGTACACGGATACAGACAATTGTTAAAATTGATAAATTTAAAAAGGTACATACAACTTACAATATATATAACTTGAGATGTACTATTATCATCACCATCAGCCTATTAATGTCCCCACAGCTGGGGACAGAGCAGACCTTCCCTATGGAAATAGGGAGATTGGGCCATGACCCTCCACGCGGGCCAAGTGCGAATTGGCAATCAGAGAAATCGCAATAACAAATAGCAGATCAGAATAATTACAAATAGCAGTGCTTCAGAGAATTAGAATTGAATATCTGATTTGTAACTAGTTGGTGCCCGCGACTTCGTCTGCGTGGAAATTGGTTTTCCATACAAGCTTTGAAACCACGATTTACACCTTTAGAGGGTGAGAAAAACCTTTCTTAACACACGCCTACATCACATAATAGCTATAATGTGATGTGATTATGATGCACATATGTGTGCCAAAGGACATTGCTCGTTCCCCATACATTGAATGCCCTAGAACGCCCAGCAATGAGAAAATGCTAGTTGTGTTCGGAATCATTCATAAACTCTAAATAAGCATTTGTTGAGATACGGACAACTTGAGGAACCGTGGCCTACTACAGAATGTATTAGATTTTGAGGTTATAATTATTATACTTAATCATAAAAGATGTACACTTTATATGTTCTGAATAGATTTAGTGTTTACCTCTATGTAAGCACTTAAATAATATGCATTAAATGAACATAAAATGCAATTAATAATAAAAATAATAAATGCTTATATTCATATTGATTTATGAGTGTTGTCAGTTGGCACCTATGATACCTATACCTACCTGTAGTAGGTAATAATAGATTTCTTTTCAAATGAAATGTTCAGTCTTTCCATTTACCTGTTTCTATAGTTTACTATCGGTAATTAGGTATGTACCTGGTTATCATTATGATTGTCATAAAAATAAACAGATATTACATGGGATGGGAGTATAAACTATCTTTAGATAATTTCAGAAATAATCTTTTCATAAATATAATATAAATACTAGTAATAAGTATTATTAACTAAGGTACCTAGTTCTATTTTTATGTTGATAAATACCTATGGTCGCCAATATTGCATTACTAAGGTAAACAATCTTGGCACAACTTTTTAACAGAATCACCCATTTAATAATAAAATATTAACGAAGCCAATAAACTATTAAAATAAATCGTTATTATAGACTGAAACCTATTGAATCCAGTTATCAGTTGATTTTTAATGCTGTATTTTCAATAAAAAGGAGTGCCAAGTTGGATGAACAGACTGTAGTATCTAGTAACAGAACTTTTATTTTTTAAACAGATTGTCCGTTTACTATGATTAATTGCTAATAAGTTAAAAAAATAATAGAAAAATAATAGTGAAGGACATTCTTTTGGGCATGCTAGGGCCGATTTCGTCGATGTCCTTTCAGCACAATTCCTTCGTTGATAGATCAGTATTTTCGTACTATTTACGTGTTTTAATACCCCTTATTATACAACAGTTGCATAAATAATTATTATAAAACATTAATGTTATGTAATAGACACTTCAGATGTCACCGTCATTTGTTTTTGACCTCAATGCGGCAATACCACCGTCAGGAATCAGGATAACGGATGCGTCGCATAGATGTAGCCCGTAAATCTTGTCCAGAATCCAGATCGGATCGGACACTGTACGGACAGTCAGGCAGCGACCGACAACTGCCTGTGATGGATGGATTTATGTGGCTAACAGGCAGACAGGGCGTGCGCTGCGTTAAGTGGGAGCTCCGTGTGCAGTTTTATATAATTTTATAGAGTAGTGACCAAACGGGCGACCGCCTCACGCAGCACAGCTCTATGAAAAACCAGAAAAAACACGCGGCACGGACGTCCGCTCCATGCTCCCGCTAAATGCCGCGCACACCCTTATATACTGCTGTGTAGTCATAGATAGCTATAAACTGAATAGTTGTATGCGGGGACATTGATTACGTAAAAGTACACTACCTCTTTTTTGATCATCAGCAATTTATTTTTATATCTCAACTGCTGGGTTCCTTAATAAGATTAGTATTATTTTTTGTTTTAAACATTCATAACACTAACATTATACTATTTTATGTTATTTACGGAACTGTTACCATCATCACGGATCACGGACCGTGATCATGATGCTTGCAACAGTGCCGAAATATCGAAAACTCGCTAAAAACAAGGTACATGGTCACAATCCCGTAACTAACATAAATTAGTATGAAAATAGGTATGAACCATTGTTCGCACATCTAGATTTAAAGATAGCAAATCGACTCTCAACAATAAATTAAAGTATCAAATACATAATTTCCGTAAGTATCTGTAAATATTTATGATTAGCAAAGATATTTAACATGTCTTTGATATTTAGAAAAGTTTATTAAATAAACTTTATGGAAGATTTATATTACATATAATAATCTTACAAAAAAACTTGAAATTTATTTATTAATTTACACAAAGGAATAAAATACAATACAAAATATGAATCGCCACCTAGGAACTATATTAGATACTATTTAGTTCATCTACGCGGCAAAAGATGGCAGAATATTTTTATTCGCTCCACAGGTAAGGTTTCTACGTTCCATTCAACTTTTTTGTTCTGCTGTAAATAATGATTTAAGTAAAACGAAAACATAAATCAATTACTAATTAATAAAAAAGTTAGTTTCATGACGTAAATTATGGTACAGATATTTTTTTTATATTTTATTACATTTATCGAATGAAATCAATCTCATAAGATGTGTGAAACGAGTGTGAAACGAAGTGGTGCCTACTGTCACTGTCACTGATATGTCAAACTGCTTGTTTTTGTTTGGCTACGAGACGGACGAAAACTAATTAATGTGCTGCACATATAATATCATCAAAACTATTTGATAATGCCAAAACCAACGTGTACACAATGTAACACTAACGACTCTCTACTTTGGAGGAGCGGCGAGAACGGACAGATATGCAATGAGTGCCACTTAGCAAACACCAGCTCCAAGGAAGCGAAGCCAGATGTAACTGTTAAAACTGAAGTCGATGATAAGAAGGAGGATAAAGAAGAGACTGAGAGTAAAAACGGGAAGAACGATGTGGAGTCTACGCCTGCTAAAGCTACTGGAAAAGGCACAAGGAAGAGTACGCGCGCTACTCGTTACAAGCCCAAGACACCGGCGCCAACTCCCGCCAAGCCGCCTGCACCGCGCGGCCGCGGTCGCAGAAGCATCTTCAAGAGGCAGCCAGTCAAAGCGCCAACTGCCACCGCTACAGTGGTTACGAGTGACTCTGTTTTCTACAAGGTATACTTAATTGCATTTATGTATTGCTATTTTCAGTGGCAAACAGCATTTTAGGGTTTGCTAGCAAAGAATAAATATGAGTTAAAAATAAAGTTCAAAATATTTCAAAAATATATTGGACTATTGAAAATAAAATTCTACATCTATAAAACTAAGTTTAACCTATTGCCCCACAACTATGAACTTAAGAATACAAAATCTTATCAGAATCAAATCAAGTTGAATAAATATTTGTCAATTTTGGAGTTCTTCAATAAGATCAATTAAATGTATAAAATTATTACATAAGAATTGTACAATAATGTGAAGCAACACTGATAATGTGATACATCCTCTTTCAGGGAATGTACATGCAAGTGGGTGATATAGTATCTATGATAGACCTTGATGGAGGTATCTACTATGCACAAATTCGTGGCTTCATGACAGACCAGTATTGTGAGAAGAGTGCTGTTATCACATGGCTATTGCCTACCAAGGCCAGCCCTCCACCGGAGAAGGGATTTGACCCTGCTACTTATATTCTTGGTAAGATCAGAGCCCCGAACACAAATTTTGAGAGCTTGGTAATTGTATCGTCATCATAAATTTTTGTATAGAAAGGTATTTTGTTCTTAAGTCTGATAAGGGAGCTGCTTATTTTTCATAGATACTTTGACAGTACAATTACGGAGCTGTCTAAACTCGTGCTTGGGCCTCAGAATCTAGTACATGAACAATAAACAATCACTTGCTGCATAGTTTAGTAGTGTGGTTATCATGAACTGTAGTAATATGTGCCTGATTAAAGCAATAACTACAAAGTATAGGTACTTGAGAAAAAAATCCTTTCTGATTTGAAATTGCCTGTCTGAATTATACTAGTGTATGTTAAGATCTTGCCATAGATTGTAATTCACAAAATTTTGAGAAACTCACTTAAGTTTTGGTTATGGTGTACAATGGTTGATTGTTAACAGTTGAAAATAAATTATTGTTTTGTGTTACAGGCCCAGAGGAAGAGCTAGCTCGTAAACTAGATGTAATGGAATTTGTAATGCACGCCCCATCTGACTATTATAAAGCTACCAACAGCCCGTATCCTCTCATAGACAGCGAAGTTAACAACTACAGTGGATTTATATGGACTTCACTCGAACCAAAAGAAAGGCCACAGAGCTAGATCAAGACTGAATAAATTAATGTAAATAGATAAGATTGATTAAATAAACAACTGTGTTTTTTCATTTGTGTAATAAACTTAGAACCAATAATTTGTAGACATTGGTTGATTCTGGCATGATTCTCTTAAAACCTAAACTTAAATTTGACAACAGTTTATCTCATGTTAAATTTAGTTTTAAGTTTAGAGAACCATACCAAAATCGACACCATTATCTTTCCTTTGTCCTTAATTTAAAAACCCTCATCTCTATGTCATGTTTTATAACTGAGTTTCCGGTACCGGTATAAGGTACTCTGTGACTGTGAGGAAGGTGTCGAATATTGCAATGTTAACGCTGTAGTCCATGGGTTGTTTTTCGCTATAATGGTAGCCATACACACTACGAGAAATCGTTACGATTAGACTGTACTGTCCGAACGGTACCGATAAATCGTAGCGTGTATGTTATAAAACTGCAGTTTCCTATACGTACGCCACGTACGATAAACTGTTCCGTTCGAACTGTACAGTCTGATCGTAACGATTTCTCGTAGTGTGTATGGCTACCATAATAGTCCATAACACAAAATCCATTAAAAAAGTGAAAGTGTGCCTGGTTACAATAAGGCACATAAACACACTAGACTCAATACATGCACTATAGCTATACCTGTTCACACTTTAACTGCACCTATTTAGAGGAAATTTGGCATTATACAAATTTGAGTCTCGGGAAAAGGTAAATAACAGTTGGGGGTTCGAAGTTTGTTTGAAAAGACAATTTTCCACCCAGATAAAGTCACCCGCCGCCAGTAACGTAATTATGGATAATTTTGTTTTTTTATTACTCTAATATTGGAATAAATATAGTGATGCGGATTAAAAATACTGGAAATGTCTTCATTCGAGATGCTCTCAGCTAGATTTGTAATGAAATATATAATGCAAAGCTGTATGAATATTAATTGTTTTGCTTTCAAATATGAAAAAAAAATGACAGTGACATTTCAATTGAATATAATTTTGTTTACCCGCCCGCTGTGTAAATTTTCATATTAAATTCCTATGAAAATCTCTAGTTTTACTCACAATATAATTTCATTTTTAATACTCGCAGATAAATAAAGGTTTAACATTCAAGTAAAGTAAATATGAGTCGAAAAGAAGCTCTGTCGTCCTTCATACAACAAATTCATGGGCGGCCGGTTGTGGTTAAGTTAAACAGTGGCGTTGATTACCGAGGCAAGTATTAATTGAACGTGTTTATTTATATAAACAATAAAACAATTTATTGAAGCACCAAAGTACTTAACAATGTAAGACATTCGACCCGATGTAATTAAGAGGTTATATTTTTATTGTCAAATTTAATATAAATTTCATTAATTAATACCTTAATCTCTAGCCGAGTTTAGTGTTTTCCATGAAATAAAAATTATCCTCATGCATTATCACCCATCCCAGGCACCCTTATTGTTCTCAATGGGCCTGGAAGCTATTATTGAATGAAATGTGTTTGTGTATGAATGGAATAAATTTCTGTGTTTTGTGGTTTTGCGACGGCAAGTATTTTATACTTGATAATCAGTGTAAAGAAATTTTCTGTTTCCAATATGTATATTTAATGAATCTAAGGTATGTCTTTTGTAATGGTAATAAAAATATTAATATTGTATTTTTCCTGTAAATCAATGTAAATGACTGTCTGTCTGTCATATTATGTACTTAGTATAAAACTATGTATCTCTTATTCCAGGTGTACTGGCATGTCTGGACGGGTACATGAATATAGCTCTGGAACAAACTGAAGAGTATGTCAATGGTCAACTGAAAAACAAATATGGGGACGCCTTCATTCGAGGAAATAATGTGCTGTACATCAGCACCCAGAAACGGAGAATATGAGATTGCAGATAAATTCTATGTTTATTTATAAGTTAAAGTAAACTAAGTTTAATTACATACTGCCTGTCATTTAATACATTGATTTCTTGTTAAGTTTCCTGATACAAATATTTTGAGTCAAACAGTATAGAAAACAATTTTCTTAAATAATTGAAAACATGATAAGAGTTTGAACCTCTTACCTCAGTGATGGCACTGGTAATTTGGCATAATCCCATACTTTAAATTTGCACCTCTTAGAAAAACGCATAAAATTAATAGAACCAGTAAACATTCTAATTATTTATTGTTTAACATTATGGTATGTATGAACAGTCATAAAGCTGTTTTATCCTTACCTAATATTTTTTTATTCGGTAAATAATCTTCACAACCCTTTAGGGTTGCTCTAAAGAGCAAACACTAAAACCTTTGTGTAAAAACCATATGAAAAAAACCCAAAAGGTACAAAATCCATTGCCCATCTCACACTATGCAGTTTATTTTTTGTTAGTGACGCGCCCTCACTTTGCTTCGGTGTAGAGCTATAGTGAAGACCAAAATGACTTTCTTCATATAATTGTGAAAATTCTGATTTGAAAAATTTTTAGACTCTTTATAACATCACGCTAGGAGCAGAAGGATCAGAGAATCAATGAAAAATGTTAGGTAATATAGTCCATTTGTGAGCTTCTGTAGCATGCGCTGGGTAATCAGTTAGTTACCCAAAAAACACGTATTACGGAATAGTTCTCCTTTAAAACTTATTTAAGACCTTAAAATTATTCACTGACAAAGATTAAGGTAGTGGCAACAATGACTGACAGGAGTCAGTGATTGTCATTTTTATCAATGATCAATGATAATATGAATAATTGGCCAATGGTTAAATTTGGTAACAGCATGCGTCTATAACTCGGTGTTACCATATTCACTGATTGATTACATACTCTTATTATCATTGATCACAGGGGGAAGTGTCGGTAGGTGATGGTGCAGGAGCCACTGGTGTGTCAGTCGTCGTGGTTTGAGTCCCGAGTGGTGCTGAGAGGTCGGACATCGGCGGAGTGTCGACTTACTTCCCCTTGGCGTCCCTGAACTTCAAGTACACCGATCCAAAGAAGACGCTGAGTTAGCGTCCCCTAGCCAGGATCGCAGGCACAACGTTCTCAGGGATCGAAATGACATCGAATTGGATGGTAGGCTGCTGTTTGATGCCGTTGAGCAGCCAACGTTCTGGTTTAGCTCCGGATACTCGAGCTGTAGGCATTTGCCTAGCAAAGCCCAATCTTGCTTCCAGAGCTTGGGCAGCACAAAACCACACCTGACTCTCTTGGGGATCTCGTCGTCCCGGAGGACTACGAGCTCACTTGGTGCCACTCCTACCACTCACTTACTCTTATCCTTCATTATTTCTAATTATAAACATCTTCATCGTTTCGGGCTCCTGGATATGTGTAGTAAAACTTCACTGCACCAACATTCTGTAATAACAAAAGGCTACATTCATGATGATGTAACGTATGAATAGCATGTAGTGGAACTACTAAACTAGGCACTACATAAATGCAAATAATCATAAATCTTCATGGTCATGGCAGTTGTATTGAAATTTGTTTACTTAGGGCTATTATATTCAGAGTTCTTGTTAGAATTATGACCACTTTGGTGAAGTCAATCAAATATAAACAAGCAATAAGTCTTTGTAATCTATGACGTCCTCTGTGGCCGAGTAGTGTGTATGCCAGGTTTCAAGGTGTTGCCTACTTGAGAGGTCCCAGGTTCAAACCCCGACGGGGGCAGATTTTTGTACTCCAGTTATGAATGTGTAATATGTATTTCTAAATAAATATAGGTACTTATATATGTATCAGTATATGTATTCTATCCGTTACTCTAGTAACCTATAACACAAGCCTGCAGTGCTTACTTCGGGGCTAGGCTAATTGGTATAATTGTTTGAAATATTTATTAATATTTATTTTACAACAAAATGTGGGAAACTAGATCTTTTTTTCGAATACTATGCAGGGAGTCGACTTAGAACAGAAATTTCTATCGCCGGTTCTTCTTTTCAGCTAAAAATCCTGAACTGGTGGTAGGAAAAGAAATTCACAAAAAAAAGAGCTTTTAAAAACTCAACTTGAATAAAGATTATTTTTATTTAATTTCAACAAAATCTCACTTCTATCACGCACATTTGACATTACGTTTAGAAACATTCTCAAGCAGTTTTAAGCAAAATTTATTTGCGACTAGCTAGCTACACGTGTTTTCAAATTCAGTAAGTTTAGGCATTTATTTTTGGGGGTGGTAGGAGCCGTCCTTCTGTCTAGTTTCTATTATGTGATTTTAGGTGCATCTTGAAACAAAATTTATCAAAGACCTAGCACCTCTCCTACCTGATGTAAATATGAGAGATTTCTAGTTAACCATAAGAATGAAACCACCAGAAATGTGCAGCACCAACCAGCAGGGTTAGGAGACGGTCACCATGCAATGAGACAAAACGTCTCATTTCCTTTCACGTTTGGACTAATTACCACTTAACATCAGGTGGGGTAGAGTCATTTGCCTACCTGAAAATATAAAAAAAAAAACGTAGATTTCTAACAACCACTACTCACATTCCTACAGAATAGGGTTATTTAACTGCAGTGTCTTGCAAGGTTAAGCGCATTAACTTCCCAATCTTAAGACAGTTCTATGACCATTTCCTAGTGTATGCATTTCTTTTATTTATTACAAGACACAGCAAATCACACCACTAAAAATTCTAATGAGCGTGAACAGCGTGCCGCGCCACTTTGCTTGTCTGGACCCAATCCCCTACCCCGTGGATCCTTGAAACCTTACTCGCCAACACAACACCAGCCAAAGACAGTGTTATTTTACTGTGGAGATTACTTCTCAAGGCACGGTCTCTAATTCGAGCGGAAACTCCGCTATGTCGCTATGTCCTACCTCTTTCTAAGACATTCATAAGAACAGTAAAAGATATACTGTATTCAATTGAATAGCAAAATCTACCGACTACCACAGCGTACTTACTTTATCCACGGAGACATCTTTAGGACCTTTCCCGTTCCCCAAATCGACGATCAGCTTTTCCCCTCTAACTCCATAATTTTTGACATAATCC